TCCATCGCTTCTGGGACCCTTCCAACAAAGCTCAACAAACAACGGCACACATCCCACAGCTAGGGAAGCGAACTTGAACGAACCGAGGCAAACCCAAAGATCCCTACTCAAGTCCTGAAGACCTTAAGGCAAGAACCCGTGAACGAGTGCAAACGAAAAGCCAAACGAGCATCAGCAGGACAGAACCTGATTACATCAGTAACACCCCCATCCATCAGCTTTGGGACCTTTTCCAACAAAACTAACAAACAACGGCACACATCCCACAGCTAGGGAAGCTAACTTGAACGAACCGAGGGCAGAACCCAAGATCCCTACTCAAGTCCTGGAAGACCTGGAGGCAAGAACCTCGTGGAACGAGTGCAAACAAAAGCCAAACGAGCATCAGCAGGACAGAACCTGATTACATCAGTAACACCCCCATCCATCGCTTCTGGGACCTTTCCAACAAAGTTCAACAAACAACGGCACACATCCCACAGCTAGGGAAGCGAACTTGAACGAACCGAGGCAAACCCAAAGATCCCTACTCAAGTCCTGAAGACCTTGAGGCAAGAACCCGTGAACGAGTGCAAACAAAAAGCCAAACGAGCATCAGCAGGACAGAACCTGATTACATCAGTAACACCCCCATCCATCGCTTCTGGGACCTTTCCAACAAAGTTCAACAAACAACGGCACACATCCCACAGCTAGGGAAGCGAACTTGAACGAACCGAGGCAAACCCAAAGATCCCTACTCAAGTCCTGAAGACCTTGAGGCAAGAACCCGTGAACGAGTGCAAACAAAAAGCCAAACGAGCATCAGCAGGACAGAACCTGATTACATCAGTAACACCCCCATCCATCGCTTCTGGGACCTTTCCAACAAAGTTCAACAAACAACGGCACATATCCCACAGCTAGGGAAGCGAACTGAACGAACCGAGGCAAACCCAAAGATCCCTACTCAAGTCCTGCAGGACCTTTCCCAAGGCAAGACAGCAAACAAAAGAAAAGAAACAAGAAGCGCTTGATCGCGTCATCACCCCGTCCATCACACACAGCTTCTTAACCATGTCCATTACTACCCGCGCTGCACATGTGACACACATGTAAGAGAACGCACCCCAACGAGGTGAAACAAAAGGTCCCTTCCCAAATCGACTTTCTCCTGTGCACATGCGCTGTACCTGTAAGACAGTTATGAGAAAGCAGGCCTGTAATGTTGGCGCTTTGAGCCAAGCAAACCTAGAAACTTGGGCTTCTTTGTTCACATGCAAGCTCTTGCCACACATGTGTTTTGTCCTGCTTTCTTGCAAAAAGTGTGGATCCAGCAAATGCATGGTTTGGAAAGTGTGCTGGTCTTGCCCTGCCTCGTCGCCTGCCTTCACTGCTCTGCTGGTGGCGATAAGACCTTATGACAACAATGCAGCATCCCCTGCAAAGTTTTTGGCGTACCTCCCACCACCTCCTCTTTGTAGCACTGAGTAGGTTGCTCAATCCCATATTGTGATCCGTGAGTCGGCGCGAATTCGGTCGGCAAGAGTGGTTGAAGATTGTCCCAAGTCCATAGAGCGCATCAAAGCGGTTCAAGCGGGCCCGCAGAGCGCTCAGGAAGCCGGGAAGCCTGCAGAAATGTGTGCTGTACATCTTTGTTCAACAAGAGCTACGCTCCCGGAGGAGGACTTCTGTTGCTTGCCCATCGGAAAGACTGCAGAACTAAAGAAGCACGGAGCCTATCCAGGATGCCGGGCGAGATGAGACATAGGGGGAAAAGATAAAGGAAGCGTGGTATCTCCTGAGCTGTCGCTGCAAAGGCAAACGAAGGACGAGTGACAACCAAATGTAGAATCAGCCAGGTGTCGGCAGCAGACCGCGGATGGAAGCACGGCAAGGCTTCTCCAGTCAAAGCTCGCTCAATGAGAAGGACTGTGTTAGCTTCCAGGTCTTGCACGGCCGAAAATCCAAACCTGTGCTGTCATCATGACAATCAAAGGGTTGAAACCTGCACCATTAGTGGCTCCCTTTCAGGTAGCCCTATCTCATGACACTGCCTCGTTTAAAGCAAAACTGCGAGCTATTGGTCGATTGGCCCGTGGCAGCCAACTGGGGTACACCTTCTGAGCCCTTGAAGAATACCTTTTAAAGAAACCCCTAAGGTCATGCAATGTATGAATATTTGTATGTATGTGTATGTATATATATATATACATGCATACATAGACACGCACACACGCACACACACACACACACACACACACACACATGCACATGTTGTGTGCCGATGTGCACAATGTGCTCATGGCTGATCGCTCCTTGGGTCCATCGTTTAACTTTCTCTGAGACCAATACTTGACCCCTGCCTCGATGGCTTTCAACAGGGCTGTCCTTCGGAAGGCATTCGCCTAAAGCTCATCTGCTGCAGCAACAGGCTCCCTCCAATAACTCCCCTGTCATAAAAACAAAAATCAGGAGCTCAGGGGGCTAGCATCTCGACATGTATATGTAATATATATATATATATATGTTGTATGTCATAATGTAAATATACGCAATACATGCCAGTGTCTGCCGAGCCACCCCTGGAGTTGGTCTTGCTCAAGTTGCAATTCCCCCAAGTAGTAGCAACCGACATTGAATCTGGATTCCCTGCAGCAAATAATATCCTCCCAAGAGGTGTCTGGCGCAAGTGAGGCCATTCACATACTCTTCCAAGCCAAATGCTGCGCTTAGTGCCCTTAGATGCTCGAGCGCTGTCTTGCACGCATTTTTTGCCTGGTATACATCCGCACTGGGGTCGAGGCTGTGTTTGAATTCCATTCACTCCTGGTGTCAACAGCCCAAGATTGACCCACTTGCCATCAACGCGAGGCGAAACGTGAAACGGCCCTCTTAACATTGGACTACTTGCCCTGTGTGCGGCATGTCGGCTCCTTCGCATAGGGTTCTTTGGCCACCTGTCAAAGGTGACAGCGCTTCGAATCCAGTACCTTGGCAACCAAAGCAGCACAGCAGCACATGTTATGAAGTCCACAGCAATGACAAGAGTCCCACGCATCTTGCATTTCGATGATGGCACCAAAGGCATCGCCAATGGCATCACCGATCAGCATCTGAACCACCTCCAAGTGGATGAATCAGACGGCTGTTGTATGTTGCTGTTTTCTGTCTGCAATATGCACCCTGTCACCCATTTGGACTCAGTGGATCAGTGCTTTGTTGGCGTGCCCTGTCACGTGTCAGGCTAAGCACCTAGCAGGCCCAGCTTCCTCCAGCAGCTGCCGCCGCCGGGCCTTGGCCTGCAGACGGCAAGCCAAGCGCCGGAAGCCAAGGCCGTTTAGCGGCCTCAGAGTCTGACGCGAACATTGGAACCTGCACAGGCACAGGCACAGGCACACGTACGCTGCTCAAAGTGGCAAACATGGGCAAACATTCCTCGCGTGCGTCCAGACACAAGTGGCCTCAAAGTTGCTAAGCTTTTTCCTTGACCTCAGAATCGCTCAAGAATGAGACGCAATTTTCACCTGGATGCTGCTCTTAAAGCAGCCACTCCGCTGTTCTCCACTGACCAGTGTCCTTTCTAGGGTCGACACCCACGTCTTGGCTGTGGCCTTGGCCTCCTGCAGAAATCGGGTCCGACGTCGTGCGTCCAAATTTGTCAGTGCAGGAAGGAAAAGAAATGCTTGACACTGTTGATCTGGAAGTTGGGTCGTTCACAATGCTCGGGCTCGTGTAGTTGCCCCGTTTCATCACTCAGCAACAATGACGTGAAAGGACTGTGGGCACGGTCCTGCCCCGCCTTCGAAGTGGTTGAGAAGCTGTCCTCCTATGGCCACAAAATCACGCCCCCCGCTCTGCACAATGGATCGTCTTGGATCTGTTGTGGCGGCCGCTTGGCTAAGCAGATTCCGAATCCTCCAGCACCGACTCAAAAATCGGAAAGGTTCAGGAAACTTCAGCCGTCTCGCTGGCAATACTGTGGGAAACGGACAGTGGCACCTTACAGCCTTATTCCTACACTCCCTAGCCACCGACCGTCCAAACATTCCTCATGAGCCCAACCAACACAGCCATCCAAACCATTCCGTCCCTATCTGATCATGGCAGCAGGCCCCCGACCATCTCAACCGTCCCAACCATTCTGAATGCCCCATGCCATTCCCGACCTTGACCACTTGCAAGCCCTGACACTTCATCCACCGTCTGGACCCAACCGCTCCCCGACTAGACCCATGAACCCGCCCTCAACCCACCCCAAACCCAACCCTGACTAGACACCCCCATCAACCCAGCCTAAACCAGCCCTACACCGATCCTTTACCAAATCACAAGCCAAACTGAAAGCAACGTTAAACCAACCGGAAAAACTGTGAGGGTCGAGTTGCGCGCGCTGGTTGGGACGGTCGGTATTAGAGTCGGTATTGGCTGGATGGCTGCTTGAATTATCATTCCCTTGAACTTAACTTGAAGAATCTTCGCTCGTCCACCTGGCATATTTACTCATATGGGTGGGTCTTAAAATAGGGGCCCAACAAATTGCGGTTTTTGGTGTGGATTACCTTCAACACCACCCCAAAAGGGGCTCCCTGCAAAAAAGACAAACGCATATTGATTGATAGCTGTGCACGAGGTCCTCAGGGGTGTGACAGCAGCCATCGACGAATGCCTGTCTCGGTTTCTGAAGCATCGAAGCTCGGCTGAACTGAACCTCGGCCTCGCAGAACCTCCGCAGCGCAGCACCAAACCCTGAGTGGCACGGAGCCAAAGCCGAACCAATCCAAACACTCGACTCACCGCACGCCGCACCAATCACACGATGCAACCAGCAAACATTGCGCGTTTTCGGTGTGCTGTTTAACTCAGGGAGCAGGATGCTTTTGGTAAAGGCACAAAATAATACTAGGTTCAGGGAGGATGCTCCATCAAATCTTGGCGTGTCGACGCGTGGGTAGCATCTTCACAACTACTGGTTGAAGGTTTGGCACCGATACGAACTTTCTAGACGGAGCACCCCAGCGTGCACTTCTTTTCGATCTGTTCTGACCGAGGCACCACAGCAGCCACGGCCAAAACATTTAGAGTCCATGACCTGGTGCAGCAAATCGGAAAAGCAACGGATTGCGCCATCTTGTATATCCAGGACCCTGCTTAAGTGCTTCCGTGCCAGAATACTCCCTGGTTCTGAGAGCAACAAAATGCTTTAACACTCTGGGTGGAGCTCGCCGTCTCAACGCTTCGCCCGACCTTGTGCGCAAACGCTGAGTCTCCGCCATCTGCCTGATGCTGTCAGCAGTCAGAACTTCTGCACGTTGGAAAAACAACGTGCTAGCGCCAACTTGTCATCCAAGTCACTTTGCGCGGACGCGCCGCAGCAGGGCACACTGTGCTGCTCGGTCAACAGATTTTGGCTCTTTGAGAGAGCTTCTTAACCTGCATAAGCAGTGACTGCAACTAGACAACGCTTCTTCGACAGTATCAGCCACTCGGCTTGGTTTGCATCGCTGAAGACCATTGTCTGAGAGCAGTCCATTCCAAGAAGACAAATACCTTCTGTGCTGTTAGCTTACTTAGTGCTCCAATATGTTCTGCTTACAAATTGTATGCCCCTAGATTGAGCGCAAATGGCTGAAGTAGCCGGTAGGCTGGACACTTCCAGTCATTGAAATTGGCCTGTCAAGGCCGATGTTCATCATGTGATCACAGGCTCTCACTGCATCCTCTCAACTCACGGTTAATTCTGGAAATCCATATCAATTCTACTATATGCTCTGGCACGGAAAGTGGACAGGGCCTGTCCAGCTCGATAGCACAGCGCACCACCTCCAGGGCAACCTGGGCAGCCCAAGAACTGGCCATGCTGAATCAAACTCAGCCTTTCCATTCCTTAGAAGGTCCTCTGACCTCAGCCTGCAAGCTGCCTGCAAAAGAGCCACTCCACTTGCCTCCTCACCCCACTTGTCTCGAACATCTCCAAGACTTAGCTGCAGAAATCCGCCCTTGGCCTGCAACGTTGGCCAAAACATGCAAGTCGCTTGTTGGCACGGGACTAACAAGCAAGCCTGGCCTCCCATCGAGGCTGCAGGGTGTTGCGGTCGTATGGGCAGAACAAAGGATCTCCCAGCATCTCGGAGCGCATGTCTACGGTCAAAGCCGCAATTGGTCTTGAAACCAATGCAAGGTGACGGAGTAACTAGTGAACGGATAAAGGGCAAGGCAATGGGCAAGTCGACCATCAGTGGCTGCTGAAGGATAGTTACAGTAAGTCCCTCACAGAGATGTCACATGGGACTCCGTTGTCGCCAGAAACACAGCCACGCTGGAGCATGCTACCTGCCCGATATGATGTTTGATTCAAAATACGTTCAACACTCATGGCTTATTGCAGAACCGCCCTTTATGGAAAACAACAGCATGAGGCCAGCACATTCTTGGTCAGAGAGGCCTCTAAGTCGGAGCCTACAGAGGCACCATGAAACACATCGGCATCCGATCCCTTCATAGGTGGAAGTGCATCACATTAGCTGATGAAGTGCAACTGTCTTCTACCTAAGTCTGCCCGCCAGCTCTCATCTAGCCGCCCAACACAACGAGTTGGCACGGAACCAGAGCAGCTATGCGCCTTGGACAATCGTGTGCGCATGCACACAAACAATCAAACACGGCAAAACAAAACAAACAACGCGCACATTGCAGCTATCCTTTTAAGCGGCAGGCGTCAACGTGTGTGTCTGTGTCTGTGTGTGCCCGTGTCTCGATTTGTGCATGTGCGCATGTGAATACGCGTGTTTGTGTGGAAGTGTTGTGTTTGTGCTTCTGTTTGCATGTGCATGTCTCATTTTTGCATGAGTGAGGGCGGGCGCGTGTAGATGATTGTGTGTGTGTGTATCTGTGTCTGTCTGTTTTGTCTCTGTGTGGGGGTGTGGGTGTTTGTGTGTGCCTCTGTGTGTGTTTGTACGCGTGTGTGCTTGCGTGTCTCTGTGTCTTTCTCTGTGTCTGTGTGTCTGCAATGTGTGTGCGCCTCTGTGTGTGTGCGCGTGCTGGTGTGTGTGTGTGTGGGTGAGTGTGTTTGTGCGCGTCTTTTTGTGTGTTTGCGCATGTTTGCATGTTTGTGTCTCTGTGTGTGTGTGTGTGTGTCTGCTTGTGTGTGTGTGTGTTTAGGCGGGTAAGTGGGTGGGTGTGGGTAAGTGGGTGTGTGGGGGTGTGGATGCGTGGGTGCATGGATGTGTTGGTGAAGGTGTCTATGTATTTCTTTATATACATCATACAAAGAGCAACCTGCGAAAACAGTGCTAAATCTGCAAAAGAAAGCATGAAGAAAAACTTAAGCGATACCCTTGCCACCCAGGCACCACTCGAAGAGCTGCTTCTCGTGCGAATGTGAGTTGCGTTTGGAAGGTCTGAGGCAGAGGACACTTTACCCTTATGTGCTCTCGCGCTTGAAATCCAAGCCGTGTTCGACATGGCGCTGACTCGGACGTGATGCTGACGTTCCCGCCTTCCGCTGACACTCTGTTGGTCCCACCAACTCCTCTGGATACACTCACTCCATCCACAAACTGGGCCTGTGCATGACAAAAAAAAAAACACACTCCTCCACGAATGCCAGACCTAGATGCATCGATGCTTGCCAGTGGATTGCTTCGGCGCTCTTGACTGCCAACCTCTCTGTGTCACCGCAAGCCTCAACGATTTGACTAGGGGACACGCGCTCTTGCAAACGCTCTATGTCTGCCATCAGCTTCTGGTTTGTGAGCTGGAGTTCCTTTGCCAGCATCGGCACCACAGCACTGCATCAAAAAGAACTATGGTAGGTATTCTGCCTTGAATGAACCGTCTACCACACTGCATTTCTTTGGCCAATGCGTGCCGCTCATGGGAGCTAGTCCGATTGAACTGCCACAGCTGCTCCCCAGCCTTTTCACGCTTGAGACATCCAGCATCAGCTGTAAAGACCCCCTCAGCAAGCAATTTGCTGATAAACTCGATCAACACGCATCCAGCTCATCTGGTTGAGTGATTCACTGGCAATAGCCTGCTCAAGCCAGCGATATGATGCAGCAAAATCTTGCCTTGTTCTAAGCCGCCTGCCAGCTTGGTGGCCACGGCTGACAGCGCGATGCCTCATACAAGTTGTCAAGGCTCGGAACCAGGGTCACACCCAACCGAATATCGCCCGAGAAGTCCAAAGACTGTCAGGAAATTGCAACAGCCGAAGCGCTAATTAAAAACTAGGCAACAAATTTGACCAGCGGGCCCTTGCAAGAGTGGCAAGTCCCAGCCTGTCTCGAATCTGGCTACCTCACTCAAATTTCCCCGATTGAGGCCATAGCCTTCATCCATCCAGTCGTCTGACTAAGTCCTGACGTGAAGCCCAGCTATTACAACAGGACCAGCCATCACATCAAGCCCAACACGAGCGACCTGCGTGCTGATTCACTCAGCTTTCCGGAACATTGGCATGTGCCACGTGATTTAATTGCAAAAGTATATAAATGAATGCTCTCTCTCTCTCTCTCTTTCTCTCTCTCCAGCGAACCTGCTTTCAGCCTATCCTGCCAAGCCCCTTCAGGGCAGGCCTCGGTGGAGAATCCAACTCATGCGTCACGGTTCAGCAACTGCGAAGGAGCGGGGTCCGTGAAGAACCGTGAGCTGAGCCCTTTGCCACCTACGAAATCTGGCGACTTGAGACTAAGACGCAAGCAGAATGCCTGAGCTCTAGCACTCAAAAGCTACTCCAGGCATGCGAACATGCTTGTGGGATCTGATGTTTGTCAGACTGGACCGTGCGCTTCAAGAGCTGAGGCTGAAAGATTCCAATGTCTACCTGCAACACGACCAAGGTAGGCTACGTGTTCCACTCCGAGTTTGCCCTGCCTGCCCCTTTAGGGCAAGGACAGGGGACCCATCTGAGCCGAAACAGCAGGTGCGACAGCTGCGCCAACTCTCTTCACATTCGCCTTCAACACGGCTCCTATCAATCCCCTTGCAGCTCTCGATGCTCGCAGCTCGATGTTTCTCCAGTTCTCGAAGCGGCGCAAAGCCTAGGCAATCAACTCACACACAGCTACAAGGCTAAACCGGTACAAGCTTGTGAAGTGCCACTCACATGCCGCGTGCGCTATGCGTCAACATTTTCAATGCCAGCTGACAGAAACTACTAAATCGATGACAGCACATTCATGCTTTCAGGCTCTACAACCCATGATGGCTCGCAGAGTTCAAAGGAACAGCGCTCCTCCAACACTTACAATCAGCCTCCATGTAGCAGGGGTAAGAGAGACGTAGACATGCTAGACGCTCCAAATTGTTGCTGCAAGTCTGCAAGTAGTCCTGCTTTTGCTAACCTGACGCCTCAATGCCCTTCCACATCTATGGAGAAAATGGAAAATATGTTCAATTCGATCAATTGCACAGCAGCTGCCCAAAATCTCCAGGCGGGACATGTGTGTGTGCACCTTGCAATGATCAAATGTGTCGTACTCGTGCACCGGTGCTCGGCACGAAGGCTTCTCGGCCGCAGCACAAATCAGCACTCAATACTCCCAGATTCAGCACTTGATCTGCGAGCAGACCCGGCATTGCGCACCTGACGGTGCAATGCGTCATACCGATACCGTTGTGTGCCCAGTGACCAAGAAAGAAAGTTTCCTAGTGACTCTGCCTTCTGGTTTGGGAATCGCCTGGAGAAACTAGCCTGGGTCTGTTATTCTGAGCGCAGCGGGGTGCTCCTGCAGAATCTAAGCCCTCCCAATCCGATGACTGGGTCGTTCCGAATATTCAAGCCAAATTAGCCGTGCAGACAAGTCGCTTTGCCAGTATCATAGCGTCAGCTAACAACCTCCATGCAAATGTCCTGCACCGCTTTTCTGTTCAACGATCTGCCTAAGAAGCCTGTTGCTCACTCTTCATGCTTTTCACCGGTGTGCCCTGTTCTCCTTTCGGTCCGCAGCGATGCCGAACTTGTCCCGCCTCAATAGCGAGACTCATGTTCAGCAACCCCATCCGGGAGCATGACATTGCTGTCTCTGAACAACAACAGGTGAGGCAAAAACACAAACGTTCAGAAAATCGGGCTCTGGTTCTGTGGAGCCTTTGTGCCAGCCGACCATGTACTCCCAACTAACGAATAAGTACCAACAATATAGTCAGTTGCATCATGTTCATGCAATGAGAGAGATTGGATTTGGGACTGGTTCTGAAGCTGCTTTCCTTCGGAATGGTGCGTGGTTTTCCTGATGGGCGAGTGCGGGCTAACAGGAATACCAAATCAGTTCATCCCAGAATGTCCTTCTCAAAGCCCACCAAAAAAACGGCATTGAGTCGGGCAACAATCGTCAGTTTTGATTTGAAAGTGAATCATTGAGTTGGAAGCGTGCTGATGCAGGAGCGACTAAGAGTAAGCTTGCGGTTGGATGATAGGGTGCATTCTAGGATTGATTCCGGGATTTAGGGTGGGTTGGATAGCTGGCTTCGTACGGGTTTGGGGTTTAGGGTTGATCTTCGGATGGCAAAAATCAATGAAGACACCAAAGCCAGAATACGAGAACTGGACAAGCACACCGATAAATCAGTCGGAGTCCTCCTTCTTTGTTCGATTCGACCGCGCAGCATTCCTATTTCTCTGAGAAAGGGCAAGTTGCCTAGTCGAATGAGGAGTCCCATGCTCAAAAAGTGTTGCTCTGCCAAGGTGCGCTTGGTGGGCCACGTCCATTGGGATCTTGCCTTGCTTGGCAAGGCCATAAAGAGCTGCCACAGCAACCTTGGTGCGTTCTGCAATGGCAAGTGACCGGCCATCAACAAGCAAATTTGGTGCATTTGATTGCCCAAATCAAACGTGTGGCTAGAGGGAAAGGACAAGGGCCTTTGCCACTGACTCGCGTCTTGCCAAAGAGCATGTTCCTTGTCGATCTCGAAGAAGCGCCGAAGCGCCTCGCGAGTATCAGAGCGGCCAAAGCCATCAGCGCCAAGGACCTAGGCAAAACTCGAAACATCCAAGAATGGACAGAGCACAAGACATGAAGTCAAAGCACACACAAACACGGGGTAAATGTTCCAACCTGCTCAGTCACAAAGCCTGCACATTTGGCAAGTAGGAGCGTGGCAATGTAGTCGCCCCCAACCCACGGAGCAATGAGCTTGGGATAGGCCTCCAATGAACTTGCACTCTTTCATCGTGAAAATCTCGAAACGGAACCAATTTCTCTGGGTTGAAAACCAGCCCTTCATCTTCTTCACTGTTTCTCCCTCTCCCTCGCTCCCTCTCTCTCCTTCTCTCTCTCTCTCTCTCTCTCTCTTTCCGTGTAGGCTGCCCCGCTGTCATGTTGTCCGACACGGCCACTGTGACGGACCCGTCCCCAAGGCATTGCTCCACCCACGACGGCGGGGCCTCAGTGTTTAACCACCCAGTTAGCAAATGGCGAACAAACAGGCCGGCCGATGCCTCAAGGCACACAAAGCTTTCAATGCGTCCAAGCCAAACGGAGCGAGCCCTAAATCCCTCCCACCCCTTAGATTGGCCGTTGTCAGCCCTGCCTCACCGCCCAGGCGAGAGCTGCGCTGGCAGGCCACTGCATCACGCTGCAGCTCTCCATAGCCTCGAAAACCCATCGACTCGAGGGATGCAACGGATGTGACGGATATGTGCACTGGGGAGCCTCTCCAGCAAAACTATTCGAAGGGACATGAATGCTGATCATTGAATAGCTCTGCAAAGCTTCTGCCAAACTCTGCCATCCCTTCCATAACCCACTTTGCCAAAAGGCTTGTCGCGCTCCACACCTCCACTCCAACACCTCAGCAAGAATATAGGCATTTCAAGCACCAGACTCAATGACTTCCAGTTCTGACACGGTTCAATGGCGCTGCAGGACTGAGTTGCTTTGTCACTAAACGGTCCAAAGGCTCCAAAGGCTCCAAGAGTCGGTTGCACAGCTTTGCGCTTCTGTCCCTAGCAGAATCCCGACACTGCGAAGTAGTGAGTCAATGGCAAAATGGCAAAGGCTAAAAGATGGATAGCTGTTCAAGCCAGTAGGCTCAATAAGCAAAGCCAAAGCAAAGCATCAAGGCAAGCTCAATGGACAGAGATGAAACGAAGCGGCACCAATAAGCAGCAGGGTGCGCAACTGAATCATGGCAGCTGAGGCAGTCAGTTGCTGGCGCAGCTGAGCAAAGAGCAGCAGTGTAGGAATTCTGAGGAGTCAAACCCCATGGCAGTAAAGGAAAACAAGTACCAGTGGCCCTCGCTGAAAAGGCAACCACCTAGATCCAAAAAAGTGTGGTAACCTGCTCCCTGTACGAGGCTTTCTGGGATTTGCGCCATACTCTGCAAGGATATCGATGGCATCCAGGGCCTGCAAGGCCAGCTCTGTCCATGTCACCGAAACAACAAAAAGGCAATGGCAATGCCTAGTTAACAAAAAACAGAAAGTTTAACTGCGTGTACAGCTGCCTGCTTCATGATGGCTCCCGATCCAATCACGCGAACCTTGTCATGCAAGGCTCTGTGCGACAACGCCGTGCTGCCAAATGCAATCAAGGCTCGGTATGCTCGGCTGGCTTAGCATCGGAGAACTTGTAGAGGCCCTTAATAATGCCTTCATCGACTCCCTTGGTCAGCAAAACTCAAGCGAAGTTCAAGCAAGCTTGCTGCATCAAACAGTGCAAATGGCAGAACTCAACTTCAACTGCGACCTTAGAGAGTATCCATCACATTGCCCTCACCCTCCGCTCACATGGTCTTTGAGGTGTTTCTGATTGGCGCTGTTTGACCAACTAAGCCCTGAAGTTGCTGAATAACACCTCCAACAAGTGTTTCGGCCAAGGCCTGCGGTTTCTCCGGCATAGCCATATTCTCATTGTAGGCAGTCACGTAGTAGATTACATCCTTGTCCTGACGAAATGGTGGCCAGGGGTATAGGAACAGCAGCCCGCAAAGTCTCCTCACCCCACATCTCTTTCACTCCATTCTCGATGATGAGTGCCATCTCGTAGCCAAAAGCTGGGTCGTAGCCCTTCACTGCCTCAGCTCGACAAGCATCCCCGGCTTTGTCTATCCAAAACTCCGGAGCACAGCCGCGCACTCCAAAACACCAGCCCTTTTTGATTCAAATCACAAAGGCCTCATTTGATGTGAAACGACTAGCTCTCACTTGGATTCGTTGGTTCGCACCCCACTTGCATGTATCCACGCCACACCCTGGGTGATCCGAAATGCTTGTTCAAATATTAGCTTGACGTTGATGTGCAAACCACATGCTGAAAATACAAGTGGGGCTCGAAACAATGAATGATCTCGGAGGCAGTAACAGCTATTGCTCAATGCTGCCTGCTTCTCTTCATATTGCGGGTGTCATCATCCTCTCGACCATGCCCTCCAGACCTATGAGGACACATGCGAGATATATGCCCTTGTTCTCCGCAATTATAACAGCTCTTGTCATCGCTCCTGGCACTCTCCTTGCCATGGCCTTTGCCACCTTGCCATGCGGCGTACTGCTCAAGCACAGTGTCGATGAGGTCGTTGGTGATGCGAATCGCCTCCTCCAACTGCCTACTGTCGTCGCTCTGCAGGAGAACGTGCAACTGCTCGGGCGCCTCCTGACCCTTCGATGGATGGCCAGAGCCTTGTCCAGCCAACGTCACGGATACACCCGTGAGCTTTTCTATGTGCTTGACATTCTGCCCCTGTGGCCCAATAAGACGGCCATTCAGCCCAAAGGCTGGATCCGGACTGTCCAAATCCAGAAAGATCTTGTGGGTGTGCAATGCAGGAGCCTGGCCGCCCTTGCCTTTGCCGCGACTGACAGGACAGTCTCGCACAAAGTGTTCGCCTCCACATTCAAAGCAAGAAATCGGAGCCTTGCCCTTCGATCCTTTCGGCCAATCCCATTCACCCTTGTCCTTGCCCTTGCCTTTGGACGATGCAGCCCTGTCAAAGCTGCTTTCGTTCTTGCCTTTCGACGGCTTGCCCTTCTCCCACTCGCCCTTTCGATCACCTTTCCACTCCCCCTTCCAATCGCCTTTGCCCTTGAAATCACCTTTGCCCTTCCAATCACCCTTCCAGTCCCCTTTCCACTCGGGCTTCCACTCGGGCTTCCACTCGGGCTTCCACTCGCCCTTCCAGTCGCCTTTCTGGTCGCCCTTCTGGTCGCCCTTCTGATCGCCCTTGCGATCGCCCTTCCAATCACCTTTGCCTTTGGCTCGGTCGGGCTGAACCGGCACTGCAGGAGCCTGAGGGGGCGGCGGCAAGACTTTGCCAGCACCCTGCGCCAAAGTCAGCAGCTCTCTTGCAAACCTTAAAGGCAAGCCCAAAGCTTGGAGATCTGGTGCTGACACCGTCCTCCAGGAGACACGCATACCGTGAGTGCTCTCAGCTGATTGCAGAGTCCACTTTGGAAAAGTCATCTCACACCCTCAGAACCCTGTCCTCAAGCTATCCACAGTGTCATACCAGTTGTCCTGAGCAAGATTTGACTGTTCAAGGCTCACACACGCTTGAAACTGGCAAATTCAAACAAATCAAGTGGCACTCAGTCCTCCAGCGAGTTCAAGAAAGGCCGCACATCCTCAAAGGACCGGCCAAGGACTCGCGCTGTTTCAGCAACTACGTCCTGCAGCCGCCTCGCACGGGCACTAAAGAACTCAGCTCTCCAGCAAAGGAGCACCACTCAACAAAGATGAGAACTGGCGTGCTTCAAATGAAGGCTCCCGCCTGTCCGCTGGCATTGGCAGAGTACTGGGATGCAAGCTATATTGGTGTTTCCAAGGCAGGCAGTTGTGTTGTTTGTCTGATAGACTCTGCCGAATTCCATACCTCAGTCCTGAGTGCTGTGACTCCAAATCCCTCAAGCTTGACTTTGAAGCTACCCGCGTGTGCTGCTGTCTACATGCAAACATTTTTTGGGTATTGGCCACGGTACAACCAGCCATCGCCACTTGAGCCCAAAGCTGCATGAAGCAACAAGTTTTGATTGGACTGGCGACATTCTCCTCTAGCTCGAGAAGTAGAAACAGCTCTTCTGGTTTGGACTAGTCAGTAGCCGCAGGAAACGAATCACCCCGTGCTTCGCAGTGGCCTTTTAAGTCCATTCCTTCCTGATATCGCAACCTGATGCAGCAAAGTTGCTGGGCACGTCAGAGCGATGAGCAAGGAGTGACCATCCTGGAGGAATACGCACAACACACTCTCACAAGAATCTGTGGGAAAGGGATTTGGTCGTGGCAATGATAAAAAGCCCAACTCTGCAGAGTGATTCTTGAAGAACTCATAGCAGTGACAAACACCAGTGACTGCAGGACTGCAGGTAACAAAACGTCTCCTGATGCTGCAGTCCCTCGCCGTTCAGAGTGGTGCGGCCATATGTGGCACCAATCAGAAACCCGCGGGCTCTTGCATCGGCAGCTTGCCAAATACTGTCTCCGACCTCAAACTCAAGCATGCAAGTCCGTATCCAAGAATCTAGGCAAAAAGAAAACGAGTTCACCTACGAATGCCAGCATTTGCCAAATTCGTTAAAGTTGCTCGCTGAAAGCCAAACCTGAGTCAGAGATCAACGCAGCGCTGAGGAAAACTTTCGAATCATACGCAAGCTCTCTGATACGCAGGACTTGTTCCTCCCTGCACAGCAAGGCGCATGGAATAGTAGATCAGAAATGGAAGAGTTGGTGCATGCTGAGATGAGTAAGATGTCGCCGAAGCGATCCAGGTCATGATGGCACCTCCCTCACCTCAATGGCAAGCTTGATTTGCGAGCTAAGCCACTGATCAGTGCGGAGTCAAAAGTTAAGGCCGGATCTGATGCCTTCCTGCAGAATCTGACCGTTTGGTGCCTCTGCATACTTCATCACCTGGTAGGCAAGCCCAAATTGACTACGGATCCAGCTCAACAAGCACCAGCCTGATCTGCATCGACCGAAATGTAGTTCTGTCCAAATGGCGCGTGGATCTTGAAAATGGGGAAGAAGGCATCAATGCCGAATGTCCGCGACCTCAATGTCAACGGGACAAATAGCAAGACTATCATATGAGCATCATGTTTGGCTGCTAGGGTCGCAGCTCATCGGTAACCATCAGTGTGACACGCTGCCCGAATTCGCCAGCCTTTCATTGTGAATGCGACAAGCAACTGCTATACACTCGCTGCAAATGCTTTGGAGCCTGCATCATCTTTCGCAAGACTTGTGCAAAGCACATTGTCGTGCTGATCTCACGCCCCTTGCTACCTGCAGACAGCAAAAGCATCTCACACCTACTTCTGCTTGCAAGCAGTGCAAACACTGCAGGTGATGCTTGAAGGATCGATAACATGAGACTGAATGTGTATCACCAAGCATAGAACGATGTCAAGCCTGCGTCAAGGATATCATAAACGCCATGCTTGGGCAACTCCACCAAAGCAGACACCTGCAAAAACTCGTGCTCACAACAGCAATGTCTTCAAGGTGATCTGCTGTCAAGTCAAAAGCACATGTTGCACATATTGCCAGTGTCCAAGCTGTCAACCATGATTCCAATGGCTTGCCTTTGCAGGTGATCGTGTCGGCAAAAAGCCGCCAAGCTCTTGGCGCTTGGACTTCAAATACTTCGCCTTCATGCCGAGGCGTTACATTGGCGCCAACGAAAGCACTCTGCCCAATACACCCACATCACACAGAAGGCTCGCAGCATGTCTGTTTGAGGCAAAGACCTCCGGTGAGTCCTCCTTCAGTGCAAAAAAGTTTGCCGCCTTGGAGAGAACTGGGTTGGGTCAATCGCAAATTCGCATAGATTGGTAGAGACTGACGCAACACCGGCAGTGACAGTGATAAGCGGCGAACATCGGACTTTGCAAGTTGCTCGTCAGTCAATGGGATTCCCATGGCATCACCTGGAGAGCTCAAATTGAGTCTTTGTTCTCTGCACTGATATAGCACATGTCAACTGAGCTTTCCACGGTACTTCTGCCTGGTGGAAAATACAGAGCTCCGAATTGCTCAGACTTTCTGTTGTGTAACTAACTCCAATTCAAACCAAGGCTCATGTCGGAATCTGTCATTGTCTTCTTCTGGTGCACAGTATTGCGGCCAAGGAAGGTCTGCAGACTGTAGCCCTGAAGTTCTCGCGCTTTAGTCCCCAAGCTTGTATATAACGGAGCTGAAGTTGATTTACTCAGGTCTCAACATGTAGTCATGTCAAGTTTCTCACAAGCATTGCAAGAAAACCATGAAATGACTATTCACCCGCCTTGAGCGTCTTCACCAAGATAACCTTGGTTGTTCATCTGCAGCCAGAATCTGTGATTCGGGACACGAGCAACAAAGTGAAAATGTTGTGGCCCGTCCCTTGGGTTCCCTTGAATGCCGCCAAGGCTCCGAAGGTCGTCCGCCCATCTCGGCATTCTTCTGCGCCTGGCACGGAGATGGTGCGGCGCATTGCTCGTCGGCCGGCTCTGGCCTGTGCAAAGGCAGCGTAGATCTTCTTGTGGTCATGTCCACCAGGTGTCTGAAAGGCCTGGACGCAAAAGTGAAGGCAGAACATTGAAGGAAACTGTTCCATCTCTGCTGTATGTCTTCAACCACATGGCTTGCTTCAACAGCCAGTCTTGACACAATGGCACCTCCAATAGCTCTTCATCACTCCAATGAGCAACACGGTCAAGCAGGCCATGCTTCTCGAAGATGTCCTGGCAAGGAACCAATGCAGTGCAACATAAGCTTCCCACATGTGCTCAAAACGAGGGCGGTCCTTGCGGATGAGGGCACCATCTGCCT